CCACACTGACCTTCACACTAACATCCACACTGACCTTCACACTAACAACCACACTGACCTTCACACTAACAACCACACTGACCTTCACGCTGACATCCACACTGACCTTCACATTAACATCCACACTGACCTTCACACTAACATCCACACTGACCTTCACACTAACATCCACACTGACCTTCACACTAACATCCACACTGACCTTCACACTAACATCCACACTGACCTTCACACTAACATCCACACTGACCTTCACACTGACAACCACACTGACCTTCACACTAACATCCACACTGACCTTCACACTAACAACCACACTGACCTTCACACTAACAACCACACTGACCTTCACACTAACATCCACACTGACCTTCACACTAACATCCACGCTGACCTTCACACTGACAACCACACTGACCTTCACACTAACATCCACACTGACCTTCACACTAACAACCACACTGACCTTCACACTAACATCCACACTGACCTTCACACTAACATCCACACTGACCTTCACACTAACATCCACACTGACCTTCACACTGACAACCACACTGACCTTCACACTAACATCCACACTGACCTTCACATTAACATCCACACTGACCTTCACACTGACAACCACACTGACCTTCACACTATCAACCTCACTGACCATCACACTAACAACCACACTGACCTTCACACTAACATCCACACTGACCTTCACACTAACATCCACACTGACCTTCACACTAACATCCACACTGACCTTCACACTAACATCCACACTGACCTTCACACTGACAACCACACTGACCTTCACACTAACATCCACACTGACCTGTACACTAACAACCACACTGACCTTCACACTAACATCCACACTGACCTTCACTCTAACATCCACACTGACCTTCACACTGACAACCACACTGACCTTCACACTAACAACCACACTGACCTTCACACTAACATCCACAATGACCTTCACACTAACATCCACACTGACCTTCACACTAACATCCACACTGACCTTCACACTGACAAGCACACTGACCTTCACACTAACATCCACACTGACCTTCACACTAACATCCACGCTGACCTTCACACTGACAACCACACTGACCTTCACACTAACATCCACACTGACCTTCACACTAACATCCACACTGACCTTCACACTAACATCCACACTGACCTTCACACTAACATCCACACTGACCTTCACACTGACAACCACACTGACCTTCACGCTGACATCCACACTGACCTTCACATTAACATCCACACTGACCTTCACACTAACATCCACACTGACCTTCACACTAACATCCACACTGACCTTCACACTAACATCCACACTGACCTTCACACTAACATCCACACTGACCTTCACACTAACATCCACACTGACCTTCACACTGACAACCACACTGACCTTCACACTAACATCCACACTGACCTTCACACTAACAACCACACTGACCTTCACACTAACAACCACACTGACCTTCACACTAACATCCACACTGACCTTCACACTAACATCCACGCTGACCTTCACACTGACAACCACACTGACCTTCACACTAACATCCACACTGACCTTCACACTAACAACCACACTGACCTTCACACTAACATCCACACTGACCTTCACACTAACATCCACACTGACCTTCACACTAACATCCACACTGACCTTCACACTGACAACCACACTGACCTTCACACTAACATCCACACTGACCTTCACATTAACATCCACACTGACCTTCACACTGACAACCACACTGACCTTCACACTAACATCCACACTGACCTTCACACTAACAACCCTACTGACCATCACACTAACAACCACACTGACCTTAACACTAACAACCTCACTGACCTCAACACTAACAACCTCACTGACCTCAACACTAACAACCTCACTGACCTCAACACTAACAACCTCACTGACCTCAACACTAACAACCTCACTGACCTCAACACTAACAACCTCACTGACCTCAACACTAACAACCTCACTGACCTCAACACTAACAACCTCACTGACCTCAACACTAACAACCTCACTGACCTCAACACTAACAACCTCACTGACCTCAACACTAACAACCTCACTGACCTCAACACTAACAACCTCACTGACCTCAACACTAACAACCTCACTGACCTCAACACTAACAACCTCACTGACCTCAACACTAACAACCTCACTAATCTCCAGTCACATCCACACTGACCTCCACACTTAGCTGTGTCCTGTATCTGTGCCAGCAAAAATTCTCTCGTCTGAGACCTCCTCTGAACATAACTCACGTCAAATCTCTCACCCTAAATCCTCTATCTCCCTCCCATCACCCCTTAAACCTTACACACCTGACCACGCTCTAGTCTCATTACATTTTAATTACCATCTCAGGACGTGTTAAACATAATTCCACACTGTCAGTTTAAATTTACATATTCATATCATCTGGTTGATTACCTACATTTTTACCTGCCTCACCTGCTTCCATGTGCAGGTAAATTGCGCATTATAAATAACAGGTATTAGAGGTTTTTTGTTTTATTTCTTTTTTGTTGGCTGTTTGTGTCTTTAAAGGACTTGTTATTGTGTTTATTTCTTTCTCAAATTATCGCATGATAAATACCAAGTATTAGAGGTGGGTTTTTTTTTTCTATTTTGTTGGCTATGTGTGTCTTTAATAGTCTTGTGTTGTTGTGTTTATTTCTTTCTGGACTCTGTCTTGTGTATAGCAGCTGCGGTACCAACACTTCTATGGTTAGAGAGTGGTGTAGTATTTTTGTGATGTTTCGCGGTAGTTTGTTGTAAGTCAGGGTTATTTGCAATTTGTTCTGGTGATAAGCAGGTACATACGCTGTAAACTTGTTTTGAAGTAAAAACAATAAGATTTAAGTGCTTTTACATTTTATTGAAATTTATCTAGTTTCAATTTTTAGAATGCTCCTTTATTTATTCCTTGATCTTTTTGTTTTTCTATCACTATATTGTTTATTTTTCTGTCTTTCTATGTCTTTATTTCTTTATGTTACGATCTCTCTATTTCTTTGTCTTTATCTTTATATTATTGTGTATCTCTTTTGCATGATCTCAAAATATGTCGTCACTCTTTGTTTCACTTATTCTCTTCTATTCCGTTTCTTTTTTTTTCGCACTGTATTTACTTATTTCCTTTTAACTTTCTCTATTTGCTTATCTCACATTGTTTTACAATATGTCTAGTTGTCTACCTCCCTCTTATCATTCTCTTCGTCATCCTTCTTTCTCTTTTTTTCGTGTTCACCATTAGGACTCATTATATCATGTCCACTCAGTGGCGTAGCGAGGTCGGGTGTCACCCGGTGCGGCACTTAATGGTGTCACCCCCCCCCCCCAGAGGCATAGAGACCCTTCCCAGGGACAAACTTTCAAATTTTCGATATTTGCACCCCCCCCCCCCCTCAAACTTTCGATTTGCACCCCCCCCCCCCCTCAAACTTTCGATTTGCACCCCCCCTCAAGTTTTTCTCTATATAATTTGCTATTTTTTGCCTTGGTGTCACCCCCCAAAATGGTGTCACCCGGTGCGTTCCGCACCCCCCGCCCCCCCCCCCCCCTCGCTATGCCCCTGTGTCCACTTAATCTACAAACTCTAACCCTAGCACTAACCTGCATTGAGAACATGAACAAAAATCGTAAATAAAAATTCTACGCATAATAAACAATGAATCTGATTGTATAATAATTTTTTTTTACACAATAGCATTTATGTTTTCCTGTATCCATTAATTATCCATATAATTAGTGATTGTTCGCAGTGGTAATAATTTCCCACTTTCATCGCCACCAATCGCTCACCATTTCTCTAATAATGATAGAGATACTATACAATTCGGCTAAGCACCGATGAACAGTGATTCTAAGATCAATGGACTTATTCAACTCTGGATCTGTTTTTATAATAATGACAGTCTGTTTTATTATTAAGCTGTAAAACAAATCTATGTGACGTCATTGGCTTAATTATTTTCTTTACTGGACTTAAGCTAATCAAACCTGTCCACAGGTTAATGAAACAATCGCCCGCCTCCCCCGAGTGAGATATCTGACTATACCTCAGGGTGTCGGGGAAGTTTGTGTTAATTAAACGAGATAAATCTCATGAAGGATTAAAAGCCGTGTGTTATCAGCGAGCTATTGGGTTCGTCTAAACACCGACATATTATTTTTATTACACGAACATGTTCTTGTACCGGTACACATTAAGTTTACAGTGCACTTCAGAGGGCGATATAGACTTGGTGCCCTGTTTAATTAAAAAAACTGTTATTTTAGTGCAGACGTTTTGGCTATAAAATAAATGAAAGCTGTTGTGTAATCATTTGGTAGTTTCTTTCTTGGAATAATGTTTAGCTCGTTACTGCTTCGATTACCACCTATAGACACCTGATTTATTACAGAGATATATAGAGAGAAAATACATTGTTTGTGTCATTCGTTTTTAATAATACAACAAAGTAAACAAAAATTGCATTTATTGTTTTTTATTTTTATTTTTATTTCCAAGCCATGTTATAGTTTAACAGAATGCTTTTTTACAGCTACCGATGTATTAATGTTGTAATTGCAAATGATATTTTGTTTCAGACAATACAGCAGATACGATAGATTTTTTAGTTGCCAGAAGTTGTTAAAGATGGAACACCAGCGCCTGGTACTTCATCGCGACAACAAGGTTCATCCATCGATTGACAAGTCTGGTAATCTGATATCTAAAGTTCGCCTTTCGCGGGACTATTCCGGTAGTCGGATATCTTTGACCTACCCGTCTGACGAAAATGGTTGTATGAAACCCATACCCCAACCATTACTTGACCATTCCGGTAGTCGGAAATCTAAAGATCGACTTTCACAGGACTATTCCGGTAGTCGGATATCTTTGACCTACCCGTCTGACGAAAATGGTTGTATGAAACCCATACCCCAATCATTACTTGACTATTCCAGTAGTCGGAAATCTAAAATTTGCCTTTCAAATGATAATTCCGGTAGTCGGATATCTTTGGCCTACCCGTCACAGGACAAAACTGGCAACATGAAACCTAAAGCCCACAATTCTGCTAATGAGAAATCTAGCACCGGTGTCCAGTCAAACAACAGGAAGTCTGAAGGCAACACCTCCCTCATGCGGGCAGTCCTGAAGGGCAAGGACCGCGAGGTCAAATCCATGTTGAAGAACGGCGCCCCAGTCAACCGGACAAACGGCCACGGTCAAACCCCTCTCATGGCGGCTGTGTCCGCCAAACGACTGGACACGGTCAAGCTGCTGCTGGCCACAGGAGCTGATGTCAACCTCCGCGATGACATCGGCCAGTCTGCTGTCATGTACGCAGCGTCCATTGGCGACGAGCCGATTGTCTACGTGTTGTGTGACGGTGAGGCGGATTTAGCGCTGAAGGACACACTCGGAAAAACGGCTCTTTTCCACGCTGTAGAATCCGGCTTTACCGACGTCATCAAACTATTGCTGAAATACGGCGCGGATATAAACGCGAAAACGCCGAACGGAATGAACGCCTTGCTCATCGCGGCGAGTACAGGAAATACAAATGTCATCCAGACTGTTTGCAAGTATAAGATTGATTTTAATTATGCTGATGGTAAAGGTCAGAATGCGTTAATGATTGCGGCGTTTTGTAACCACGTTGATGCGGTGGAGTTGATGTGTTCTTTGGGGTTTGGTGTCAATGCTGTAGACAAGGAAGGATGGAGTCCGCTGATGCTGGCGTCCTATGCCAATAATGATGATGTCATCAACCTGCTTTGTAAATATAAAGCTGATAAAAACGCCTCCAACAGAGAAGGGAGAACGGCGTTTATGTTAGCTGCGGAGCGGGGTCACCTCAACGCTTTGAGAACCCTCCATCGACTGGGTTGTGACGTGCACGCCGTAGACAGAGAAGGGTGGAACGCACTGATGTTAGCCACGCACGAAGGCAATGCTGAAGCGGTAGAGCTCTTGTGTAGCTACGGGGCGTACGTGGACTCATCCGACCACAGGGGGCGGACAAGTCTGATGATTGCTGCCAAAAAAGGTTACGTTAAAATTCTCCAGGCCTTGTTGTATCACGGAAGTGACGTCAACAAGTACGACAAGAAGAGATGGGACGCTATGATGTTTGCTGCTCAAGCCGGCAACACGGCCGTCGTGAAACTCCTCCTTCAGAATAAATCATCTCTGAAACACGTCAACGACAAGCAGTTCTCAAGCCTGATGCTCGCTGCGTGGTATGGTCATGGAGAAGTTGTTGAAGTTCTTAGCCAGAGCATCAGAAAACTCGAAACTTCCATACAAGAACGGTCCATGCATTCAAGACAGGACCTGATGAACGCTGCAAATGTTGATGGGTACACAGCTTTGATGATAGCATGCAAGAAAGGTTTTACTGACATAATCGACATTTTACATAAATACAATGCGAATTTACATGCCGTAAACAATGAAGGAAGAACAAGTTTAATGGTGGCTTGCAAGAACGGCCATCTCAACGTTGTGAAGCTGCTGAGTGATAAAGGTTGTGATATAAACGCGGTTGATAAAAAAAATATCAACGGTTTAATGCTCGCATCCCAGCATGGGTTTGTAGAAATTGTCAAGTTTTTATGCGGGCGTGGAGGTGACGTCAATAGCGTGGACAAAGATGGATGGAATGCTCTAATGCTGGCAACATGTGAAGGACATCTCGGCGTTGTTGAAGCTCTGTACAGTTGTGGATCCAAGGTCATATTCCAACACGAGGAACATCTCAACGCCCTGCATGTTGCTGCCATCAAGGGCCACAGGGAACTAGTCAGCTTCTTCCTCCGTAAATGTGTCATTGTTGATCAGACAAAGAAGGAGAAACTTCATAAGAAACTTTCTAGAAGTAAATCAAACAATACTGAAGAAACGCCGGAAAAATTATTCCAGATTGATATTGACAGCAAAGACAAGTACGGGAACACGTCTCTAGATTTGGCTACCAGAAAAGGACACGTTCTGATTGTGGAGATGTTGAAAGCCGCAGGGGCGACATGTGAGGGTGTGGCTGGGGACTCGGCCACCCCCACGCTGTTTAGGACCACCTCCGCCTATGATGTGGAGGTTGTGGTGGAGCCGGGGTACCACCACAAGACGGACAGGCGCCTGCTGGTACTGGACTGGGATTGTGGGGCCAATGAGACGGATGTTGACCTGTTGACCTTGAACTGTGATAACCTAAGCAGCCACCAAGGTGGGTACCAAATATTTAATTTAATGCTACTGACACAATCAATTACAGCCACATTTGACGATATTATAGAATAATATTTTAGCATTGACTTCTATATTGATAAATACGTGATACGTTGTTTCGACAACATCTGTAGATTTTGGGTCTCCAGTACCAGTTGACTGATATAATCTACTGATCACTGTTATATTCAAGACATTGACATTTTGATCAGTGATGCCTAAAACGACACATCTTCATTCTTTAAATACGCACAACTAAGACTTCCTTCTATAAAATGACATAAAGCAATGCACAGTACTTCATAGACTAAGCTAGTCCATTGTAGCTTCTGTTCATTATTTTTTTACTAGTATGATATGCTTATTTAGAATAATATTTTTGGGTTAAATATATAGTAGCTTTTCACTAACGCTCCAGTACGTCTATGGTATTTCTTCTTGTTTTTAATTTATTGTATTGTGGTTGTTTTTAGGACCCAAGTTCAACCACAACTCACGTGACTGTGATCGGTATCCACGTGACCTGCCCGTGACGTCAGAAGTCATCTACCAGACGGCGTATGACATACCTGGCAGTGTGAGATTTGACTAGAGCCGACACACTGAACTCAGGTGGGGATACTCTGTTTACTCTGTTCATGTATCTTTGTGTGGTAAATAAGGTTTAGAGGAAACTCAAACTGTTCCAGTGCAGCACGTCTATGAGGGAAAATGTGCTAAGTAATGTCCTAAGCTTATACTGGTAAGCTAGAAAAAAAAGCGAAATTTAGCATAACGACTACAGACTAATCATTAGCTGACCAAAAAAAAACGAGAAATATAGCATAATGATCACAGACTAATCACCAACTGGCCAAAAAGATAGAAAAACCCTCAAACTTTATCCCAATTACCACAGACTAAATACCGCAATCTGCCATTCGGATATTTTACGCCAAATTTAGTATGTTACCGCGATAACTAAACTACTTATTTATGAGTGTAGCGTGTGATCGTGTTATAGCTTGTTTACCGAGTAAACAAACTGCAAAGAGGGTCATTTAAACGTGTCGGTGTAAGAATGCGAAATACGATATGTCTGTTTCAGGTGTGTATGTTTAAGGTGTATGTGTGAGTATGTGTGTGTGTGTGTGGTGTGTCTGTGTGCGAGAGAGAGAGAGAGAGAGAGAGAGAGAGAGAGAGAGAGAGAGAGAGAGAGAGAGAGAGAGAGAAAAATGTAAATACGACGTCACTGTAACTTAGATATGTCACGCTTAAGCATTCACGTTTAATATTTACCTGTTTAAGCAATGCATGTACCTGTATTATATGTGTATGTAAGGTGTACCTGTCTTATGTTATTCTGCTAAACGTATGCATATTAGGCGTGCTAAACTCTTTCTTAAGCAGATGTTTTAAAAAATTAGATTTTTAAATAATACGTGCCCTTTGTTATGTGATCCGTCAAATCTACACTGAGTAGCTAGACTTGTTTAACAGAGAAAGTAAACAGCTCAGGGAAAGGGGGGGGGGGGGAAGTTGAGGTCAACTGAGTCTAGTGCTGGACTTCCTGTACAAATGTCTGACTTCCTGTTCCGGCCAACTCCCCCACCCCTACTCCCCCTCCCTCCTGACTTTCCAGGTCGTTAGCGTCCCATTCTGTAGCTTTACTTGATTATATAGCTACTCTCTTCTGAAGTCAAGCGTGTATTTTGTTCTACTTTATTTCATGAGCGCTTTTATCTGCGGTATTTACTAGTGGGGAATGTGCTATTTTCATTAAAAACACAACAACAAAGGCGTGTTCAAATAAAATTTATACTAGCGTGATAGCTAACAAGTTTAATCAATTCAATATTTAAGCACTGGTGTAAAAATTTAAATACATTTTACGATTTCTTCACGTTGAGTGATCTCCCTTTGCGCTAAAAATAGAATGCAATCAATTTTTATTCATAAGATCCCCACGCGTACATCTCATAATTCTATGTGTAAACACGAGTCTTCAAAGCAAACATACGTCTTTGTTGTACCATTTTACTCCTCAGTAGCGCCCCTCCCATGTGTGGCTGTACAAATATCACACACGTAAATTTTGAATGTAAGTGAAATTGTTTTTTTTTCTCTGACAGTGAATCGTGTGAGATAACAAGCCAGGATGGATTCAAAGTCACGTGACCGTGTGCAGAATTTTACCAAGGGGAGAAAATCAATGGAGAAAAGATTATATTTTTTGAGGACAGATTTTAAATAATGTGTTGTTTCCCTTGACGTCATCCAGTTGTTGCCCCTTAAACCTATTGTGTTCGGACACAAGGGAGACGATTTATAACAGCTGTCAAATAGGTTTAAGTTCAATCTATGTTGTCGTCAGAGTCGACATGAACGTGTTTCATACAAATATGAAACAATTTGATATTTGTGGGGGTTAGCCTACTTGCATTCTATCTAAACAATATAACTTGAAATAAATGAGAGGGATCCTATCCTTAAATGTATCTAAACATTATTACATGAAATATGCAAGGGTTACATGAATCATATCTGAACATTAATTTATGAAAACTGGAGGAGATTAATAATCCGCATCTGAAGATTGAAATGTGGATTTGCATTCATTTAAAAAAAAAAACAAATGAATATGAACTTAGCATACATAAGTTAATTATTAACTTTTCACTTAAAACTGTGTAGATATATTAATAGTTATCAAGCCATCATGGTGTAGACATTTTTTAGAGCTTAAACGTGTTGTACATGGCTAGACACACTACTAAAGATTTGATCATATGTGTGTAATGGCTAAACGGTATTCAATCAATGTTATTTGGCGGCATCGATACGAGAGAATGAGGAGGGGGGGGGGGTATTTCACACCGCTTGCAAAACATACTCACCTTGACAAAAAGGGCCAGTATAAGTCAGGATTAACATGGAAATATAATCATATGTAATCTAATTTTCAAAGGAGAATCGTTGTTAATATTACATTCCTACGCAATGTATTGGGTGTATAAGAAATTGATCATTACCTACATTAAAAAAAAAATCTAATTTGTAATAGTTTTATTTTTGATACATTTTGTTTTCTTATTTTTTCTGTTTTCCAATGCCTTTATTGTTTTCACCAATGTTTTTATACCGGTAATAAAGTGGTTTCTTTAACTTCTTTGAGTTATATATAATTCAAACAGTGATAATATATGATGATAAGATTAAAAAAAATATGATGATAAAATTTAAGACAATTTATGTTATGTTTTACTTGAGTGACTTCCACAATAATAAGTGTAGGGTACCTATTAGGTCTAGGTGGTATGATCATCATAATAATTCATGTAGCCCCCTTGCAGGGGGTTGGGGGGGTGGAAGGGTAAACAACACCCCTTTTTTGTCTTCGGTTTCTGGCGATTCATCCAAAATGGGCACACGATATTCGGGCTGCTTCTGCTGCATTGAAAAGTGATCTTTTTATTTGGTGTTATTTTTTCGGTTTTTTTGGGTAGGGGTGGGGGGTTTTAATTTACTTTATGCAACAACTATTTTTAAAATCACGTCACTGATAAAATCGAATAAAAAACAAACCCTAAAAGCTCTTTTAAAATGACGAGTTCGCGGCCAATTTTTAAGATCATAAAATGTGTTACTTTAAAGACATTTAAAAATAATTAGAAAAAAAAATTATCACACATGTATGCAAAATAAAACAGGAAAAATATCGACGCTGTAACAGGTGCTCAGCGACAAAAATCTTCACCAGATGGTTAGTAATAACAGAGGTAAAAAGGAAACAGGTGTGATTATTATAACTATTATATCCAAAACAATGTTTATACATCAAAATATACAGTAATTAAACTTGCTGTAAACCTTTAACAAGTGTGATTAATATAATTATTTTATTCAAAACAAGGTTTACAGAGCAAAATTTAAATTGATTAAACGTGCTTTTGAGCTTTAACACGTGTGATTAATATAATTAGTATATTAAAAACAATGTTTACAGAGCAAAATGTACAATGTTTAGACAAGCTGTTAAACTTTAACACGACTACGATGCAGGAGCGTGTATTAAAGAGACCATACATAACAGCAACAATGGGGCGGCAAATAATGAGTCAAATTAGCACATGGTGGAGTTGCATAAATATATATATATATATATATATATATATATATATATATATATATATATATATATATATATATATATACTTAGTGTAAGCGAAGGTCACAGAATGAGGTGTCTGTTGCCTGTATCCTGTCTTGTGTCATGGTTTATGTCATGTCTTTTGTTTTCTTCTGTGCCCTTCTTGTGAAATAATGTGTGCCCTGTCTTATGAAATGTCTTGTGAAATGTTTTATGCCCTGTCTTATGCTCTGTCTTGTTCTGTGCTACAGGTAACACGTGCAGGTTAGTATACAAACATCGCTCACAAGGTGGCGCTGTCTTAAACACTAATCAATATCTGGGGTCGAGGCTATCTGTCATCGATACAAATCAATGTCACCGGATCAGATTATATCTTGAGATTTAGTGTTGTTGTTTCGCCAATAGAAAGAGGCGGGGTAGGAGTGAGGATAATGATAAGGAAAGAAATTAAAACGCGTGTGTTAAACAGTGCAACACTACAACAGTAGCGCATGTTTCTTATGGTAATCAAATCACTGTTTGATAGTTTGATAATAGACGTGTATAGAGATATAACTGTAATGCTATATGGTGGTAAACCGTATCACATATATGGTACGTATAATTAGTTGAACATGATGTTATATTAAAATGAATTATTACAAAAGCTCTTCATTGTCTTATACATTCGATATGCTAATGTCATGATGTAAAAATTATACTTTGAAAGTACATTGTGACCACCCCGCAGTTACATAAACGTATATAGTGTTACTGCTAAGACACATTTTGTGGTGTAGATTGGGTTCGAACCCACGACTTCAGATCTGCACCATCTTCATTAACCACCAGTATAGGAGATACGTTAAACCGTATTAAAACGTTGCAATATCAGTAGAATAAAATGCATGTAAGTTTAAAAACAAAACTTACACTGTGTTTCTTAAACATGTACTTGAAAGTTACAGACCAGATCTATTTGTTATTCTACTTTTTACGCTCACTATTTTTGCTTTCCTACGTACTATTTGTTAATGATATGTAGCATGCCATCCCAAGTAGACTCAGGCAGGATAAAAAGAGATACAGTTCGTTAACATAGTCGTCTACTATCTCTAACATTCCTCAATGGAAGCCCCTATCGCTGATAGCAATATAGCCTACTCTCTACGATTTTCTATTCATCTCAGTCTCTCGCCACTAATCTCTATCGAATCAATGAACGGAATTAACCCCACGTATTAATAACAAATTATGCGAGTGGTGTATCAAAACACAGTGACAGCTTCGTGTAATCCTCAGCTGTTATACGTCGCGTTAGTGACAGGAAGAAATAGAGTCAATACAAAAATATGCCCCACCCCCCATACCCTTACTTAGTGTTTATAACTCTCACATCCACTAATAGTCAATTGCCCCCTTCCCCACCCTCAGACAAGTAGTCAATAGCTCCCCCACCCCCAGACAAATAGTCAATTGCCCCCCCCCCCCACCCCAGACAAATAGTCAATAACCCCTTTCTCAGACACAGAGAAACTGACCTCTTATGATAACGCTCCAAACAACCCACCCCCGCCCCTTTCGATAAACAGTCAATAACTTGATAAACTCCTCCCACCCCTACCTCTCAATCAAATAAAATAGCATACTAAAGGGACCCACCCCCTCAACCTCTACACAGTAGTCAATATCGATGTCTGTTCTCCCCTCAAGAAATAATCTCTAGACCTGACCCCCTTCCCCAACCTCAACACCAATATAACATTTCTCAATCTGTCCTGCACCCCACCCCCTCACTCCACCCCAGACAAATAATCAATACCTCGATGAGACCCCCCCCCCCCAGTCAGTAATTGATTTATTAAAAATATATCTGTCTCTCCCCTCCAGCTGCGAGTTGTATTATTGGACCCCCCCCCCCCCCCCCACTCCCCGCCCCTCGTCGCAATACTTTCTTTCCCGCGTCTTCTTCTGTCGACATCTTGAGATATATAAAGCCGAAAAAACATAGCTTAAACCTGCATGTTCTTATCAATGTGACGTCAATAATCGCCTCCCTGCAGAGGCGTAGCGACCCCTCCCGGCGCCCGGGGACAAACTTTTCGATTTGCACCCCCCCCCCCCCTCAAGATTTCGATTTGCACCCCCCCCCCTCAAACTTTCGATTTGCACCCCCCTGAACCTTTCAATTTATTTTTCCAACCCATTTTGGCGCCCCCTAAGGTCGGCGCCCGGGGACGTTTGTCCCCCGCCCCGCCCCGCCCCCCCTAGCTACGCTACTGCCTCCCTGTTTTTAATGTGATGTTACACATCCACTGCCTGTTCTTATTAATGTGATGTCACACATCACCTGCCTGTTCATATTAATGTGACATCACGCAAATCATCAACATCCCTGTCTTTGATGAAGATTAATGGCCCTGTTTATCTGCCTCAATGGCCTTAGCATATTTAGGAATGTGAGACTAGCATATTTTTGTCCATGTTGTTTTTATGTTGTGTTTTTCGTCTACCGTCCCTACCCAGAACGAAATAGAATTCATATAGAAAATGAATACTTTTACCAGTTTTTTCCCTTTTGGAAATTTAAGTCAGTCCCCCTTACGAAAATTGCCAGTGCCCCCACCCCCACCCTCACCCCTATCCCCGGTAAAAGAAACCTTAAAGAAACATTATTCTCATCCTACAAAATATATACTTTTTAAAATACAAATATATCTTTCAGATTGTTATATTATAAATCTTGTTGTTCTAAATATAAAATGTGAACACTATTCAACAAACAGCACGAAGCTTGTGTCTGTGTTCAAAATAAAAGTTGTTGTGAGGTAACAATTTACTTTATTATAGCTGTATTTTATAATTTGTACAAGTTTTTGTGACCTTGTTCGAACGGCTCTCCTAGGAGAAAATAGCATTTGTGCCGAGTAGATTTAATTTTTCGGATTTACTGCGGCCTTTAAGTTGTGTATACTTTTACATGAATGGAAATGACATGTTGTGAAATGTATGCGTATGTTTAAAAATATTACTTTAAAAACAGGTGTAAAAAAAATGGCAGCGGTGGGATGCGAACCCACGCCTCCGAGGAGACTGGTACCTTAATTCAGCACCTTAGTCCGCTCTGCCACGCTACCACCATCCTTCATTTGCTGATATTTAGCCCAATTTAAGACTGCTCTATCATAATCGACTGATGCGACCCCAGATACGAGACATGAAGGCCATACAGGCAAGATCGTATTTTGCTAGAAAGACATGAGGTTGCTTTTTAACACTAACCATCTTGCTTTAAGAAAAAAATATTGACAACTGGTGTAGCAATGGTGAAGGAATCAAGATCTGTATGGCAATGTAGGATTTGAAAAGCTATACATGAGTTTGATTTTTATTTTCATCATTTCTAATTTTCAGCACATTCTGATTGAGATCTCGCCTGTGTTGATCCTTTCAAACGAAACATTGAAATGACGAGAGAACTAAAAGTAAATCTAGATTGAACTGCTGCTTTCAATGTAAATCACTTAGAACTTAAAGCAAATGGCAGCGGTGGGATTCGAACCCACGCTTCCGAAGAGACTGGTGCCTAAAACCAGCGCCTTAGACTGCTCCTCCACGCTACCCCCGTTCCAAGGAATAGCAAGCAGTTTGACCCTTAGTCATCACTTAATTGTGTTTGTTCCATATTTGTACACACTTGTGCTGCTGGCTCAGAGGATGAAAAACCCAATGTCAAAGACGCGTAAAGTGGGTAACAATGCAGTTTCGATCGATGTTTACAGACGCCCATCTTTATCATAATACGCTATATATTATTGACTTGTGTTTTCTGAATGACGCCAGACTTGACGAGCGATTTGAGGTCTTGCTTTCGGACGTACAGTTGCGACATACACGCCTCACCTATACACATGTGCCGAAATAGCTCAGTTGGGAGAGCGTTAGACTGAAGATCTAAAGGTCCCTGGTTCGATCCCGGGTTTCGGAAGCTTTAGTTTTCTATTTCTTTTTAATTTTGTGTTTCAACTTAATTCGTATGTTATTGAAAAAAAAATACTTGTTTATCCTTGATAACAAAAAATACTTAAAAAAAACTTTTTAAAAAACCACGTTTTTCTTGTGGACTAAAAAGTAGAAAATAAATTTTTCTTTTGTGCTTCCTCGAGCTGTGCAGATTCTTGTGATGACTGACAAAAAACATGGGTACGTTCACCATCAAATTTCCCGAAACATCTGCCCGACCCACGTTTTTTGTCAGTCATCACAAGAATCTGCACAGCTCGAGGAAGCACAAAAGAAAAATTTATTTTCTACTTTTTAGTCCACAAGAAAAACGTGGTTTTTTTAAAAGTTTTTTTTAAGTATTTTATTTTCTCCTTTTTAGTCCGTTGCTACACATGAAAAACGTGGTTTTAAAAAAGTTTTTTATATAGTTTATTTTCTACTTTATTTAATGACTTGATTAAGTATGACTTGACTAAGTGTTTATAAATACACTGACTAAAAATCTTGAGCGACCAGGATTCGAACCTGGGTTGTCGCGGCCACAACGCGAAGTACTAACCACTATACGATCACGGCCAGCGCGCTCACATCGATTGGGGCCGAAGTAACTGTGTCAATAGGCCTCCAGTCTTGTCGGTATCTTTAGAAATCATGTCCTCAATTTTATGGTCCTTGGGGCGTAATTAAATTAAGCTAATTACGGTCTCTAATTGCTAGTTTTTATGATTGCATCTGAAATTGTTAGGCGAAAGTAGCCTACATGCCAAATTTCAGATATCTAGAGCAATCAGAAGTGGGCTAATTTTCGATATCAATTTTAACAACAAACAAATCCACAAACGCGAAGCTGAATTAAGAATAAAAAAAAAAATACTTAAAAAAAACTTTTTAAAAAACCACGTTTTTCTTGTGGACTAAAAAGTAGAAAATAATTTTTTCTTTTGTGCTTCCTCGAGCTGTGCAGATTCTTGTGATGACTGACAAAAAACGTGGGTACGTTCACCATCAAATTTCCCGACCCATCTGCCCGACCCACGTTTTTTGTCAGTCATCACAAGAATCTGCACAGCTCGAGGAAGCACAAAAGAAAAATTTATTTTCTACTTTTTAGTCCACAAGAAAAACGTGGTTTTTTTAAAAGTTTTTTTTAAGTATTTTATTTTCTCCTTTTTAGTCCGTTGCTACACATGAAAAACGTGGTTTTAAAAAAGTTTTTTATATAGTTTATTTTCTACTTTATTTAATGACTTGATTAAGTATGACTTGACTAAGTGTTTATAAATACACGGACTAAAAATCTTGAGCGACCAGGATTCGAACCTGGGTTGTCGCGGCCACAACGCGAAGTACTAACCACTATACGATCACGGCCAGCGCGCTCACATCGATTGGGGCCGAAGTAACTGTGTCAATAGGCCTCCAGTCTTGTCGGTATCTTTAGAAATCATGTCCTCAATTTTATGGTCCTTGGGGCGTAATTAAATTAAGCTAATTACGGTCTCTAATTGCTAGTTTTTATGATTGCATCTGAAATTGTTAGGCGAAAGTAGCCTACATGCCAAATTTCAGATATCTAGAGCAATCAGAAGTGGGCTAATTTTCGATATCAA